TATTAAATTATTACTTGAATTATTGAAAAAGTATAATTTATGAAAAGTTTTACTTAAAATAAATTTACAAAAAGAATAATATAACCGATGTTTTTTATATCTAGATTTCTTAATTAAAAAAATATTTTTAGAATATCAAAATTGCGATTAAACATTTCAGAAATATTTAAAAAATATATAACACTTGTTATGAACATATCCTTTGAACGTCTTTGTGCTAACATGTCTTATCTCACGTATCTCTCATCGTTAACATTATTATACATAATCTGGAATGTTAGATTTGAGTATTTTGTTAGATACGACAGACAGCATTATTATCATTTTATGAATATATGTTAACGAGAGATACTTCAATTTGCTTCGTATCGCATCTTTTATATTAAATTTATACGATTTTATTTTTACACTGAGGAAGGGTTGAAACGTTTGTTAATTTTTCTCAAGAATAAAGTGTACGATTTCACACACGCCTAATTGTATTGGCTCGCATTGGCTGATTTACAGATCTATACTTGTTATGAATATTTTTAAAAAGAGAGACTTTAAGGGGGGACCATGATCTAAATTATTATTAATTTCTTACGCAAAATAGGAAATAAATTTTTCGTTATGGATTTTGTTCTTCAGAAACTTGGATAATACGCGAACGTCTAAGAGACGTAACAAGAAAGGCATCTTAATAAAAGACTAAGTGTGTGTGTAAGACTAAGTGTGTGTTTATAAAATTTTAGACGTTTTTCTCGTTTGCGTGATTTATTTTGCATGAACGCTATTCGAGAGGGATTTTGAGATCGTCGTCAATCAGAGCAGCACAAATCATTAGCAGACTTTGATAACCGTCTCATCAACAAGATCGCGTTATGGAGTACCAGGAGAAACATATTTACTATTAAGAGTAGTTATAGAAAGTGCGAAAAACATTAAATTAATCTTACCTCCGCGAGTTGTATCGCGGCCTTCGTTCGAATGTAAATTACATTTGCCTTTGAAAATTACAGTGCGAATAGTCACCTTTTCCTTTATCAATGCATATTCTAATTTCAGAAAATTTGAATTTTCGTCCAAATAATTTCGTCCACGAGACATTTTTTTTCTAAACGAAAATTCAAATATTTTGAAGTTATATATAATAAGTTCATATCGGACGCATTGAAGATTAAAGAGACTTGAAATTGAAGATTACAATTTGATCAATCAGATGAATTTAATGTTAATCCGTTTCGTTCTGATTATATTTCTTTGAAGAAGATTTAATAAATTTTTTTCAGTGTGCTCCAATTCGCAATTCTTCAATCTTCAATTTGTAGTTTGATACACGTTTTAAGGCGGAGAAGTGCGATTCTTCACGATATGTTATTTTTCAAGAAGAAATGTAAAGAAATATCCTCATCCTCATCAAGATTGAGATTGACTATTGGCTCACACTGCCTTTGATCGAGGATCGCACTCAACGCGAGGCAATCGCAATTATACAACAGTTATGAGGATTATTATCAGGCAGATTATCCCGACATCCGTTTAAACGGAATATTGAAAAAATTACTAAGTTTTAATAAATATTTGTTTTAATAGCACTAACTAAATATTTATTTATTAGTAAATGAATATTTAGTCAATTAAAAAAATGGTACTTAAACTAAATGGTTTTTGTATCAAATAGATATGTGTTTACATTTAGAGTAAATATTTAATAGTACTATTCAAACAAATAATAAAATTTAGTACATTTTTTTCAATGAATGACTCCCAATAATATATCGCTTCAAAATCACAAACTGAATTCGGAGTACGAGTCAGCACTAATCTTGCAACTACAGCGTTATAATTTTACGTTTATCGTTGTTACGATGAATCTCATATGATTAGAGATTTCGAGGTACGTCTGAACAGGCGTTCATTCTTAGCGATGTTCTATGAACATAAGCATAGGAAAATACCTCATGAGATTGACAAGATTTGGATATTATTAGTATTTTAGCATTTTATAATCAGCTTTTGTAACGTGTTAGAGGAAGAAATTGTTTCCATTCCCCTACCCTCCCGCCGACGATTCACCACGAATTTATCTGTGATCTTGAGACGAGGATCACAAGAATGGAAGTTAGGAAATGCCGTGTCGCACTTTAAAGGTGAGGACATTACATCTAAACAAAGCTTACGGGCTGCTACGCAGCATTCAGTATGTACAAATTCACTACACCAGTTTGTTCCTACGAGGGATATCAATCTAACTTAAAGGGACGTATTAATGACTGCTGCTCATAGTATTATAAAAGCGCGGAGATGAGCAATTGGAGGAGCGCACCTATCGGATCGAATGCACTAATGGTGATTAGTGTCAATCCTAGTTCTCACAATCTAATTCTGCGTTATAAAATAAAAGCTAATAATCGAGAAAGAAATAGAGAGCGAATTGTTACTTCCGGAACATTCAGTGATTATAAGCGTACTTCTGCTCATTTGCTCGCGATAGGATTCTCTTATCTTCTCTTTCTCTCTCATTTTTTATCCTCCTCTGTCCTTTTCTTTTCCACTCTTCTCTCTCTCTCTCTCTCTCTCTCTCTCTCTCTCTCTCTCTCTTTCCAACCATATTGGATTATGACATCACATAAAAGATTATATATATATATTGAATTTTCTTGCTGTACAGAAGATATTGCACATAAATTGACACAAAAATGTATTTATGGGTGCAATATAAACATTACAAGAAACATTGTGTTATTCTCCAAAATTTAAACTGTAAGTTTTATTTATTATATTTAATGCGCTATATATTTATTATATTTGTTATGCTTATGTTGTTTATGTGCTGTATAGGATTTAAATAACATTAATTTACTATGAGAATGCCATTATTTATATTTAACAGATACAACATAAGAAAATGACTTATTTTTATTACTAAGTAACTACAAGTTAGCTTTGCTAGCAATTTTTTATTTTCAAGATTACTTTATTAAACGCAGAAAGGAAAGGAAACCTAACCATTTATTTCAAGATATAAAGCAGATGAAAAATTTATATGATATCAGAACTTATATT